ACAAGCTATGGGTTGCTGGTGAAGAGTCCTCAGACTGGATTCAAACACGATTCTGCTTCCTGTTAGATATAGACTCATCTCTGCATCTCCTCAGCTTCCTCAACAGCAAAATGGAGATTAATATCATATATCTGAATGTGTTATAAGAGATATTTGTTAGTTATTATTTATCTATATCTTCTGTCACCTATCTCTATTTCTCCCCATCATTTATCTATTGGGCTTCCCAGGTGGCACTAGTGGTAAAGAACCTGTCTGCCATTGCAGGAATGTAGGAGACCGCAGTTTGATCCCTGCTTCAAGAAGACCCCCCTGGAGGATGGCATGGCACCCCACTCCAATATTCTTACCTGGAGAATCCCAAGGACAGAGAAGCCTGGTGGGCTACACATAGGGTTGCATAGAGTCAGACATGACTGAAGCACACATCTATCTATTATCTATTTTTCCTTCTATATGTCTACCTACTATCTATCTATCATTCACCTATAATGCCCCATATTCATTGGCTGCATGTGTGTCTGCGTGCTAAGTCCTTCAGTGGTGTCTGACTGTGATCCCAAGTACTGTGGCCCTTAAGGTTCTTCTGTCCATGGGATTCTCCAGGCAAGAATACTGGAGTGGGTTGCCATGCCATCCTCCAGGGCATCTTCCCGACCCAGGGATCGAACCCAAGTCTGCTATATCTCCTGCATTGGCAGATGGGTTCTCTACCACTAGGGCCACTGGAAAGCCCATTCATTGGTTAAAACTAGGTATATCCCACAATGAATGGCAACCCTTAATGTAAGTATTTTCCTGATGATTTTTCTGAATTATAATCTCATTTGGACATGACACTTCCTGTGTGTAATAATGCTTTTTAAATCAATTCTCATTTATTATACAAGAACATTCATTCAGACTCTCTCATGTGTGACTTCTATAGATACAAGGTGATATTACATTTTGGAAAGAAAAGACAAAAACTGTTCACATCCCTTTGTGCTCATAGGAGGCATTGACCAGTTCAAACAGTATCACTTCCATTTCAGTCTTCTCTGCATCTTTAGGGGGTTCGGGGCTGCACACAGCTCCTTGGCTTCTCTCTTATCCATGTTTCTCGCTGACACTGACTAGACCTTCTAACAGAGCCTAATCAACTGCTCAGGGAGCCCTTTTCTTAGCTCTTGGCCTGACAGGAGGTTCCTGCTGGAGGAGAGAGAAAGGCGGACTGGAATCAACACAGCAGAACAGTGACAGCTCCACCAGCTCCAGCTGGGAAAGGAAAATAAAACAGAGTTCGTGAGACACAAACAAAAAATGAAAACGCTAACAACCTTCTCACATACATGTGCCTTTATAGAAAATAAAGTAGCAGCAGGAGAGGAAAGAGGAACTGCAGATAAGTCATCAGAAGTAGAATGGGAAGTGTTAGTGTATCCTGGTATCTGGACTACTAGAATAAATTAACAACATGTGAGCAGTGTTGATTTAAAACAGGACTTTGATGGCAGAAAAGCAAAACCAACACAAAAATGATAAGTTATTTTCACAAGCACAGGAAGGAAAGCCAGCATAGCCACCTTAGGAGACTCTAGTGGGTTCTTGTTGTTGTTCAGTCACAGTCATGTCTGACTGTTTGTGACCCCATGGCCTGCAGCACACCCGGCTTCCTTGACCTTTACTATCTCCTTGAGTTTGCTCAAACTCATGTCCATTTCTTACAAAGCTTGGTTATAGCATATGTGAACCTCAGGAACATTGAGCAAGTTCTTAGGTATCTATTCACCTGATTTTGAAATTATGTTCAAGAAAAAGGCTACACACAAATGCTAATAGTGTCATTATCCATAGTCACCAGAACAAACAGGATGCCCTTCAATAGGGTAAAGGATGAACAAATTGTGGATAAACTATGAAATGGATAATCAAGCTATATATATATATACACACACACAAACATACATATGGGTATATTATTCAGCAGTAAAAAGGGATAATCTGTCTAGCCATGTAGATATATGAATGAATCTGAAATGCACAATACTGAGTGTGAGAAACCAGTCTAAAAAGGCTACATACTGCATGAAGCCATTGACAGGGCTTTCTGTAAAAGGCACCACTATAGAGACGGTAAAATGGTCTTCAGTTGCCAGGTGTTTACTGGGGTGATGGGTGGTTGGTAATGCAGAGGGATTTTTTCAGGATGGTGAAACTATTACGTGTTATACTGCAATGGTGGAGAAATTACAAGAGGCATTTGGCAAAACCCATAAAACTTACACACAAAAAGAATACCTCAAAGTATGCAAATTAAGAAACTGTAAATTTAAGCTGTCAAGGATCCCTGGGTGGAATACAGAATGTGACAAAACAGTTAACTGTGTTACAGATATGAGACAATCTCACCAACCAGGACAGGTGGTAGGGTGGAGAGTGGTGAAAAATGCTGACCATCTAGTCAAAGCTATGGTTTTTCCAGTAGTCGTGTATGGATGTGAGAGTTGGACTATAAAGAAAGCTGAGCACCGAAGAACTGGTGCTTTTGAACTGTGGTGTTGGAGAAGACTCTTGAGAGTCCCTTGGACTGCAAGGACATCAAACCAGTCCATCCTAAAAGAAATCAGTCCTGAATATTCATCGGAAGGACTGGTGCTGAAGCTGAAACTCCAATACTTTGGCCACCTGATGCGAAGAACGGACTCAGTTGAAAAGACCCTGATGCTGGGAAAGATTGAAGGTGGGAGAAAAAGGGGACAACAGAGTATGAGACAGTTGGACGGCACCACTGATTCAATGGACATGAGTTTGAGTAAGCTTCAGGAGTTGGTAATGGACAGGGAAGTCTGGTGTGCTGCAGTCCTTGGGGTTGCAAAGAGTTTGACCCCACTGAGCGACTGAACTGAACTGAAGTCAATTGGAAATGCGTGGAATCTGAGACTACATGCAAAAAAAGAAAAACTGCACATAATCAAGGTACTCTAGGTGATAAGGTTGTTCCTCACAGAGGTACCAGTGAGAAATTCGGAAACCATTACACACATAACTGGAACTGAACAACTAAGTAATTGAGTCGTAGACACCAGTTTTCTTGCTGTTGCAGTAGGAGATTATAGATAAGCCAATGGAAGGCTGGAACAGTCTATGTAGTTTTTTTTTCAGTCACTCAGTCGTGTCCGACTCTGCAACCCCATGGACTGCAGCACATCAGGCTTCCCCGTCCTTCATCATCTCTCAGAGTTTGCAAAAACTCATGTTTATTGAGTCAGTGATGCCATCCAACCAACTTGTCCTCTGTCATCCCCTTCTCTACCTGCCCTCAATCTTTCTCAGCACAAGGTCATTTCCAATGTGTTGGCTCTTCACATCAGGTGACCAAAGTATTGGAGCTTCAGCTTCAGCATCAGTCCTTTCAATGAATATTCAGGATTGATTTCTTTTAGGATTGACTGGTTTGATCTCCTTGCCTATGTCATAATGGATTAGAATTAGAGACATTACTATGATACTGATAACTACATCTATATTTATCCATGTGTGTGTGCATAGGTTAATACACATATATTTCCTTGCCTTGTCATCTGGAAGGATCTGTAATTGGTGATTCCCACTATCAGTGAGCACACTAAACATTAAATCTTCGTTTCTGACCATTCCCCAGTGGCATGGCTTCTTGGAGAAATGGCTGATTCTAGGACCACAAGGTGATCCTGGAGTGGCCAATAGTGTCAGAAAATAAGACTGTGTCAAACACACACAAAGATGGGTTTTTTCAAAGGACACAAGAGCCATGGCCAAAGCTAGAACAATTGAGCAAGAAAATAAATATAATAGTATTGATTGGATTGTAATCCAAAGTATAAAATCAATAACCAGAAGTGCACACTGGTACAAATAAAGGATTAAATAAATATGAGAGGAAGAGGAAACACATCTCCCATGTGATAGAAATCCTAATATTTATTTCATGCTCCACCCCCAAGGAGGAGCATCAGATAAACATGCTCTGCATGGTGACTTCCTCCTGAGGACCACAGTATTGAAAAAAGCTAAAATAACAGCTTTATGGTAGGAAAATCTAGACACACAGCATTTCAGTCACCCGTTCAAGCTCAGCATGAACAGAAATGTCCTGTTGACCATTGGTACCCTTCAGATGGTGTGATGAGCACTTTGCCTCTGTGGTCTTCCTCCTAAAGACACCTAACCCTAATCTACTCCTGAGAAATCCCAATTTAGTACATCTTACAAAATACTGATCAGTACTCCTTAAAGCAGTCAAGACCAACTGCAAGAAGGAAAGTCTGAAAAAGTGTCACAGTCAGGAGGAAGCCGGGAGACACCAGGACAAAATTAATGTGGTATCTTTCATGGGATTCTGGAACAGAGAAGGGACATTATGTGAAAATTTGAGGAACTCAGAATAATGTGTGCTTTTTAGTTAGTGATAATGCATCAATACTGGTTCATTAACTGTGAGAAATACTCTCTACTAATCTACTCTACTAAGCTATTAGGGGACCTTGGGTATGGGCTTCGCATGTACTTTCTGTATCATCTTCACAGTGTTTCTATAAATGAAAACCCATTCTAAAATTAAAGTGTTTACTTAAAAACCCACAAAAATTATCAGGCATCATAACTTTTTGTGTAAGGAAAAATATCTATCTTTCATTGGTATGAGTACTTTAAAGCCAGCAACAACCACATCTGAAAAAAAGCTAGCCTGACCCTAAGATTGCTTCAACTCACATATGATTTGATGATTCCAAAATAGGAATTAGAAACAATGATTCTATCAACAGTAAAGCAAATTGTTTCTCCAACATGAAGATGAAGAAGTCATGATAGTGAAATATCACATATCTGCCAAGAGGAGGTTTGACTTGAACTTTAGAGAAGTATTCTTTCTTTGACACATAATTATGAATATTTCCAGGGCAGTATACAAGCACAGATGTGGATCTGAGAATTAACGTATTGTGCTGAGAAGACAGCAGTATGATTGAGGCTAAGCTTACATACATCTGTACAAGTAACCTGTACACCTGAGTGATGAGATGTGGGCTGGTAAGAGGGCTTCGACATGATTTATGAGGCAGCCTGAGTAAAAATCTTCTTGTAGTACAATGAGTCATTCAAAGAGAAATAGATGGAAAATGAATGAGAGCAATTTTAGAATAAGGGCATTCATCCCAGGGCCATGTGTATGCCTTGAATTAAAGTGGGAGACAATAGGAGGACAGAGCTCTCTGACGGGTGTTCTTCTGCTTGTAATTGTTCCCAAGCCTTCACCTCTGGGTAGCACACAGCACGAGCAGCCTTTGCATGTTACCAACTGAATCATTCAATGCAGATTCAGTGAGTGAGATGATGTTGCTTGGTGATGTTGCTCTGGGTAGACCTCATGTTCCTCTCACTGCTACGATGACAATAGCCTCTGAAAGATGCAAAGTCAAAGTCACCGTCGTTTTAAGAGTGAATGGTGTTCTTGTCTTCAACCCTTGGTAATGACATCAATTCTAAGAGAATTGTGAAAATTACACTTGATGATAACATTAAGGAACAACGTGTGCTTTATAGGATTAGTATAGTTTTGAGAAACAGGATTACAAGTGAGCCTGATGGAAAGTAGATAGCCAGGGGAGGTAGCTGTAATATTTTAAATCCATGGCCATGATTTTACATAAATATTGCATGAGGCCACTGATCATGTTGGAGTCAGAAAAACTAGTCTCTCTTAATTAATCTGACAATTCACATCCTTAAGAGCAGAGTTTCTGCAATATTTTAAGATTCACACCTTTTGTATATTCATCTGGCTTATCTAGACAACCAGATACTGGCAACTAAATTAGAGAGGTAAAATCATTTTTACCAGTTTCAATTTTTTGAAATGGTAATTTCAGTTATATAAATCACAATTAAAGCAATATTATTTTTTGTTTCATATTTATAACAATTTTCAGGCTTCCCTGGTAGCTCAGCTGGTAAAGAATCTGCCTGCAATGCAGGAGACCCCGGTTCGATTCCATGGTTGGGAAGATCCCCTGGAGAATGGAACAGTTACCCACTCCAGTATTCTGGCCTGGAGAATTCCATGGACTGTATAGTTGAAATCCATGGGGTCATAAAAAGTCGGAAACAACTGAGTGACTTTCACTTTAGAACAATTTTAGTTTTTCAAACCCTGATCTTATGGCTATATATGTCTTGCCTTAAGGTTTATCAAGTTAATTTTTATCACGTTAATTTTTTCTTTGCTGCACTTTCAAGTGGAAGTTTAATTAGAAACAAGTGGTCTAAACATGTGTTTAGATACTCTCTGATGAAAAACTTTTTCAGTATTCTTTTTTGCCATGAACAGCCTCAAATTCATGAATCAGAAGTTTGCTTATAATCAATTACAATTGCAATCAATTACAATTATAATCAATTGCAATGGATCAGAGTTAAATTAGGAAATTTATTATACATCATGAATACCTAGAGAAAAGCAAACTTCAATAAAACAAAAACATTGTCCATGGATAAAATGAAAGAATAAATGAAAACCTTAACTTTCTACATCCATGGAAATAGTCATCTAAATAACGAAAAAGTGCGATCACTTTAATTCAGTTGCAAGTCTTTCTCATCTTTGTTTTGTGTGACCAGTAGATATTCTCAAATCCAACAATCCAATCCAAACTGTGTGCTTTTTAAAAGAATTAATTATATCTGATTGTATACCACAAGGACATAGAAACAATGTAGCATGTAGGAAACCTGGAGTCCATAAATGGTACTGAATAGAGAGCAACAAAAATTATATTGTGAACTAGTCTCATAATACGTTAAGAGCTATAGTAAAAGATGTCTGCCACTTACTTGAGCTTTATTTCATATCCATACTTAGCTATGATTTGGATCTGTTAGTATTTTTTGTTCTTTTGTTTGACGCAGTGGATAAAAAGGGCTGCATCTAAGGGTATGACCAGACACGACATTCAGCCCGCGGTGCTGCAGCTGCCTGGGTCTGTGATCTCATTTGGGACATGCCGGAGCCTGGCTGGGAACTTAAAGGGAATTTTCGGAGAATTAGATGACCCTGGGAAACTGAAAAACAGCCACATATTCTTAGTGATCTAGAAAGTTGCATGCATAAGGAAGTCTGTGTCTGCCCAGGAAAGACACCGGAAAGGAAAAGATCCCCCAGTGAAACCCTGACAGTGAAGAAAGAGAAAGTTAACACTGTCTTGTAATTGTTCCAAAGTTCGAAGGCATGCCTTCCCACACAGATTGTTTAGGATCTAATCCTGAGAGTTGTATAAACCAGACTTAAAAATAAAATAACTTTAGAAAGTCCAGCTCTAAACTCAATCAATAGTAACCAACTGTAGGAATTATAGAAGTTACAGAACTAACTCAAAAAAATACAACATACACAAACAAAAAAGTTTCAGTAAGAAAAACAAAATTAAAAAATACCTACTAACAAAAACAGACCCAAGGGGAAAGATCTGAAACCAGAGTTTCTCCAATATATTGTCAAAAATGTAAGGTTTTAACAACAAAAAAATAAGACATGCAAAGAAATAGGAAAATACACCACATACTCAGAGGGGAAAAAAGCAGTCAACAGAAAATATGCCTGAGGGCGCCCAAATGTTGAACATAACAGAAAAACTTTAAACTATAACAAATGTTTTCAGAAATAAAGAAAACTGTCTAAAAAGTTACAATAATGTAGTATTATAACATCTCACCCAATAGAGAATATCAAGAGATATAAATTATAAATGGAATCAAGTAAAAGTTCTGGAGTTAAAAAGTACGACGATTTAAATGAAAATTAGTAAGAGGGGTTGAAGAACACATTTTCACTTGCAGAAGGGCTGGAAGGTAAGTCAGTGGAGATCATCCAGTCTCAGAATCAAAAGTCAAAAAGAATGAAGAAAGTTGCACAGTGATCCACAGACCTGTAAGAGTTCCTGTTCAGAAGTAGTGATTGGGGGCTGTCTTATCTTTCACGTTCACCTCTGTTTCTAATGTTTCGTTGTTAAAGAAAAAACAAAAACAAAACACTTGAACGAATACATTCTGGTCCCCTCAGCACCGCGAGATCCTGGTTGACTGCTGACAAAATGCGTCGCTACCTATTGGCTCCCGTGTGAGGTCTGATCTCTTCTGTGATTGGTTCTCGTGATCACGTGGCAGCTGACGCCCCATTTTGAAAGCTCCTCTCCTCCAGGGTTTTCAAATTTCCCAGGGGCTGTTGACTCCTGAGCTCGTGTCTTCATTTTCACTGTCTGTGACCTTAAAATTGCCAGTCAGGGAGGCTCCCTGCTCAGAGTGTGGTTGATGAGGAAGTGGTCTGTGCTCCTGCCCTGTTCAGGCCGGAGATAGGGTCAGCCTTTCCTTGTATTCTTACCTCAGACTACATCTCCTGTCAATTACTTGCTTTCTTCTTTCTGCAACAGTGGTATTTCCTTTGGAGAACAAATATAACTGAGAGCTTTTTATTTGTTTCTTTGGCAAGTCGGAGTAAAGGAAGAGAGGAATGGTTGGGAATAAGAAGTAGGTTTCAGAGGTGAAGCCTGGACGTTTATTCAAAATTCCTTTCTGGCTCTCGTGGGCGCTGCTGACAACAGGGGAGGCTGTGCTGGTGCGGGGTAGGCATGCACAGGCTCTGTGTCACTCTCTTAATCTGCTCTGAACCTGAATCGTCTGTTAAAAACTTAAATCTTTCAAAACAAATGATAGATAACAACATCATCTATTAATTAATTAAGAACTTTTCATGTCTCATGCACTGTGCACTTTAACCTTTTCAACTGAATGAAGGAGGAACTCTTAGGGCTCCCATTTTATAGGTGAGAAAATGAGACTCTGAGGTTTTGGCATTTTGCAGCAGTAAAAAAAAAATTAACAACAAAATAAATAGAATTACTTTGCAGCAACTTTTTGTGCATTAGACTCATGGAATTCAGTAGTGGTGAAATGCAGATAAAATACAAGGCAGGGAGTAAGAGAGTGAGTGCTGGTGCCGTGCTACAGGGGTTCCTGCCCACACCCCACCGTTTACGCATGGTGTGATCCTGGGCCAGTCACTTAACTTCTCTGGGCTGGGCTCTTTGCCATTCACATAATAACCAAACCACCTGGAGAAAGGTTGTTGTGAAGACTAAATTAGATAAGCACTAATTGTCCAGCTGTCAGAACACTTTGATCAATACTTAAGTTGCAAATATATCTTCCAATTCACAGCATGTGTACCTGTGTACCAGCTACTAACAATGTTTAAAAAAAAGAAATGTGGTTTTTCTATGATTATTTTGTTAGATAATCTCTCTAATTTTTTTTTGTTCAACTCTCTCACGTGCCCCCTTGAGGCCCAGGCTCACACTGCAAGAGAAAGTGCCAGGGTTGACTTTGGAACTTTGTCTTCGCTTGTCTCTCCCCTGAATTTCTGTCCTCTTTTCTAAGAAACTGTTGGTTTTAAGAGAGTGAGAAAAACAATAGGGAGTTGGGAGCAGTTACAGCAATATTTGATCTTTGAACATCTTATAGAAAATTTGAACTAAAGAGCTAATATCCAAGGGTAAGAAAATCTGTATTGTGCCCCAAACAAAGCCACCAAGAAGGGCTGTGCACTGCTGAGTAAATGTTTGAGCTTCAGCAAGAGCCTGAAGTTGCAGCTTAATAATTTCCTAAATATCAAATGTTGGATGGATTATTTAACTTCTAACTTTCTCAGTTTTTTTTTTTTCATCTGTGTAATCAGGATAATGATGTGGCTATTGTAAAAAAAAAAACAAAAACAAAAAACAGAATCACCAGGAATTCTGGCAACATAATGAGACTTATATGAGACATATTCCCTTTCTGTTAACTATAAATACTTACTTAGGACTTAAAATCTCACCCATAATCCCAAACTCGCCTTGTCCGTACACTCTCAGTCTCTTCCAAGCATAGCTACCTCACCTTCCTGTAAACCACAGAACTTCTAGTTAGTAAACTCCACTTCCTGCATGAGTTTGGCCAAGCAGTTTCACTTCACTAAGCTGCAGTTTTCTTTCCTTTCTTGTGCAGAATGGGATTGAGGGGTCAAGGGACCAAGGCAAGTCAGACAGCCAGCCCGTGCCTGCCCAGAGCTCCAGAAAGTGTTCATCACCCAACAGCACTGAAGCTCTACTCATTCTCCAGATGGCATGTCTCTTATGTAACTCTTAAAATGTTATTATATTTTTCAGGTAGCTCAGTATTCCAACTGCACTGGAACTTCTTCAGGAGAGGGTTCTGATTTTTCACTGTCAACAAATAAATTAGTCCTTCCAATCTTGCATAATAAAGAGGGAAGGCAGAGGACAGTTTCTGGGCATAGATTCCTAGATAGGAGTGGTGCGCACCTGATTGTAAACACTCTGCAAAATAGTCATAATTTCAAGCCAACTGATGTTAAATGGTGAGCTTTAACTTGTCCATGGTGAGAGTATTTATTCCATAAAAATAGGCAAAAGCTACAAACCACCTCTCCTCACCCCCTCCCATGTTATCAAACACCTCCTCTATGAGTCCAGGTTCTGCAGAAAAACAGAGTCAGGAGGAAATGCACACATAGATATGTTGCTGTTGTTCACTGACTGAACAAGTCGCTCAGTCGTGTCTGGCTCTTTGTGACCCCATGGACTGCAGCCTGCCATGCTCCTCTGTCCGTGGGTTTCCCAGGCAAGAATACTGGAGTGGGTTGTCATTTCCTTCTCCAGGCGATCTTCCCGACCCAGATATTGAACCTGTGTCTCCTGCATTGGCAGGCGGATTCTTTACCACTACACCACTAGGGAGGCCCATATATAGATATAGATGATGTAAATGGAAGTAGACATTGATGATATAGATGTAGGTAGATATAAAGAGATTTATTACAGTAATTGGCTTGTGTGATTATGAAAGCAAAGAACTCCACAATCTGCCGTGTGCCAGGCAGAGGCTCAGGAAAGCAGATGGGGTAGATCAGTATAAGTCTGAAGCCCCTGAGAACTAGGACCGTGCTCAGGGCAGGATTGCATCCCAGCTCAAGAAAGAGCAAATCCACCCTTCTTCCTGCTTTTGTTCTATTCAGACCCACAGAAACACACTGAAAAACACACCCAGAAATAACCTTTTACCAGCTACATCCAGTCAAGTTGACGTAAAATTAACGATTGCACTTCTCAGAGTATTGAGTATAAATGTAATGACCAAACAACTGACAATTAAATTCCAACAAAGCAGAAAATAGAAATTTATCTTTAAAAAAATCATTCTCATATTTAAAATGATTACAGACACATATATATGTATGTATACTGTCACCAAATAATTGCATTTTAAACGAACTGATGGTAGAAGTGAAGAAAAGACATATGGTAAATAATAGTTGTACACAAAATTGAATTTCAAATTCTGAGAAATCTCAATTGTTTTTAACCTTTTGCTCATTCAATTTTCTCATCAAATACTCCTTTGAGTGGCTTAACACTGACGAGGAAGTAAATGCATTTCATATGGTTAATGTGACACCCTTTTCCATGGCTTCACACTAAAGTTATTATTCTTATTGTTGGGCTACAGTAAAGGAAAGTAATTCTGAGCAGTTCTTTCATGTCTTTCGCCTTTTATCATGAATCACAAAGACAAATGCTCCTGAAGAGTTCGAGCTTCTCTAGCAGATATTGGTGATTAAATAAAAAGCAAAACAAAACCATTCCCTCTATTCTCAGAATCTGTGACTCTGAGACATTTCCCCCAAGCCTCCTCTTTGCTGGGGCCCCTTTGGCACTCTAGGTCACTCCCACGCCACCCAGCACAGCACTTCAAGATGTTCTTATCAAAATACACTTTCTTTCCGATTGTGTTGATGCTTCATTGAGACATTGTGCTTGAGTGTTTCACAATATGATCAACAGAGGTGTCATCAATAGAAAGGACACCTGGCCTCTCTTGTCTTGCCTGAGGTCCCAGCCCAGCAGAACAATGTGCCCACCACGCAGGGAATGTTGAGGGAGTTGCAGTCTCTCATGGATCCAGCAGCCTCTGCCTTCAACAGTGACAAACGTTCTGCTCTAGGGCACCAGGGAGCACTCAGTGCTTCCAACAGAGCTGGTAGTCAGAGCAAAGTGCCTTTCACCACAGGCAGCCCCTACATTTTAAATGTATTCCAACTGTCCCGGTTGAGGAACAGTTTGCATATAACTTGACACCTGAGACTTACAACTATGCTATTACTGTGGATGGTTAAGGACTCATAGAAAAAACTTCAAATTAACACCAATCAGAAACCACAACAGTCTCCCACACCTGGTCCCATGGTGGAAAACTGACATTAGTCTTGATTGTTCTTTGATGTCATTGTTTTATTCAGTCATCTTTACAGAGGTATTCATTGAGCTATCTCAAATCATGATTAAAATAAGGTAAATGGTTGAGAAAACCTTCTTTTGACCAGACTTTAGGGATAATCAAGCCAATGGGATGACCCTGAGAGGCAGCAGTTGAAGATTTTCAGACTGCTAGTACAACAATGCTTTTCTTTTTCAACAAGAATGCTGAATCATGACAACTTAACACACCATGATGACATAGAATGGTGTTGAACTGTATGAACTGTTTGCGTATTTTGGAGGTTAATCCCCACAAATAATAAATGTTGGAGAGGGTGTGGACAAAAAGGAGCTCTTTTACTCTCTTGGTGGAAATGTAAATTGCTACAACCACTAGGGAGAACAGTAAACAGGTTCCTTTAAAAACCAAAACCAGATCTACTTTAAGACCCAGCAATCCCACTCCTGGGCGTATATCTGGAGAAAACCATGATTCACAAAGATACATGTACCTCAGTGTTCATTATAGGGCTATTTACAATAGCCGAGACATAGAAGAAACCTAAATTTCCATGGACAATTGAATGGATAAAGAAGACGTGGTATATATAGATATATAGATATATAGATATAGATATATAATATCTCATATATATATATATATGAGCTTTTATTCAGCCATTAAAAAGAATGAAGTAATGCCACTTGTAGTGACATGGATTGGCCTGGAGATTATCATACTAAA